CCAGGATTTCTATATTCTGCACATACACACACACACAACTAAGAATGCCACAGGTCTGGCTTTGTGCTCTCATTGTCACTGCATGCTATCTTGGAAAATAAAAAAAGGAAAGCAAAAAAGCAAAGTGCGCTGCTTTATCTACTGCCCCATGGCACTTCAAGCACTCTCTGGGTGGTCTGCAAGTTAATTAAGCAGGTTACACATTCCCCCTCCCCCCCCCCCAGCGAGCAGGGGGCTCATTTTTACCAGCCTCGGAAGGATAAAAGGCTGAGTCAACCTTGAGCCGGCTACCTGGGATTGAATCCCGGGTTGTGAGCACAGTTTTGGCTGCAGTGCAGCAGTTTAACTCCTGCGCCATGAGGTAGCCGGAAAGTCTGTCGAATTCCCCAGAGGAAAGAGCAGAAAGCAGTCGCCTTCCAACTCCCTTACCGAAGGCAGGCACTCCATTGCCAGCTGTGCATTAGGCCGATAAGGCCCTGTCCAAACTTTTAACTGTGCAGTTTTTTTAAAAAAAAAAACAAACAACAGACTGAAATGTGTCACAAAGTGGCGAGGTGCACTTTTTGCAGTTTTTAAAAAGTCATTTCCAAAATGGTAAAAACCCGTCAAAAATTGTGGAAGAAAAGATAACAAAGCCAAAGCGATCTATAGGGAAAAAAAGAAACATGGAAGCGGGGGGGGAGGGGGAGAAGCAGGAGGGCAGGGGGCTTACCTAAAAAAGCAGACGGCGACACAGTGCCATTACTCCGAGACACCATGACGCTGATCCCCGTTTCCACAAACGGTACGGAAAAGTCAACCACCTCCGAGCGCTCTCCGTTGATGGTAAGGGAACCTACAGCCATGACCGCTTGCTTTTTGACCACCTGGTCGGGAAGGAAGGAAGGAGATTGGGGGAGGGGGAGGAAGGTGTTTGGAAAAGAGACAGCCAGACACAGTTAGGCAACCCACAGAACTCAGCAAAGTCCTGGAGGAAATCCAAACACATGTGGGCGAAGGTTTGACTTACGAGCTCTTTTACCTAACAGAACTTACTTCCCCAATCATTCCATTCCACTCGTTGTTGATCTTCTTCCCGTGCTTCCCGTTGGTCACCAGGTAGAGGTCGTAGGTGAACTTGATGGCCTTGGAGAGCTTCTTCAGAATGTCGATGCAGAACCCTTTGCAACACTTCTTCACGTTCTTGCCTTCCTTGGTGACGTTGCTGGTGGGCACAAGCAGACAGAGAAAGAAGCCCCGGATGTGGCCGGATTCGCAAGAGGGAGAGACCACCTCACCGCCTGCGGGCCCTGGGGGGAAATGGCTCCACCAGGCATTTCAGACAAGGGAAGGGTTCGAGGCTTCCCTTCCCCGCAGGGAGAAGGAAAGTGATGCTAGGAGTCAAAAGCCTTCCTTCCAGCTTCTAGTCTCCGGTGCCTACTTGGGAAGGGCATTTGCCAAACCAGAGGCCACCCCTGAAAAGGGTGCCGGATTCCAGAGAAGGGACCCTTGGGGAGGTGGACCACCCCACCCATCCCCCTGCCAGCCTTTGCTGCATTCCTTCACCGTAAGTCTTTCCAACCAGCTTATGGGCGAAACGACGCTTTCAACACCGAGGGGGGGGGAACCCAAACAAGACAGCTTACTTGATGATGACGAACTTCCGGCAGGGCACCGTGTTCTTCACGCAGGTTTCCGTTAAGGGATCCATGTCCTCCACAATGACGAAGGGGGCCTCTTCCAGGGTGACGATACTGAGGTGGTTGTTGTCCGGGTCGCTGTCGTTGAAAGAATTAAACCTGGGCCATACAGAATACTTATGGCTCAGGCTGTTGTTCTCCCATTTCCCCACCTGCAACACCAAGAGGTGAATATGGCTCAGAGAGATTCCCCCAACCAAGGCTGGCGGTCTTCAAAACAAGATCCTACAAGGAGCCCCGGTTTTCCACCCTACCACGCCGCGAAGAGAACAGTCTTTAATTGCTGGTATTTCGGAATTACCCCAGGCTCAAAGGCTCCCTCCCGTTGGAGGAAGGTGGCACATGTGACTCCCCATGATATTTTCATCACCACCCTGCAAAGAAGGCCAGTTGAGAAGGCCACCCAAAACCAGTTTCCTGGCTGAGAGGGCATCTGGAACCAAACCTCCATGGCGCCAGCCTTCCTCAAGACAAGGTGTATGTCGGACCTCAAGCCGGACATGTTCTTTTGACCCACGGAAGCCTCACGGGCTTCTCTCTCTCCTTCCCTGGTGATAAAAACCCAACAGGGAAGACAAATCGATGAATCAGTGGAATAACTAACAGTGGGCAGTTCCTTCCTATGGAAGGAAGGCTGCCCGATCAAGGGATCTGCTCTCTGCAGAGACCCACTCAAAGACACCCCTGCAGGACGGACAGGATTAATGGCGGAAGAACAATTCACTCAAGAAGGCGCTCGTTTAAAAGGCTGTCTAAAAGGACTGAAAGAGAGAGAGAGAGAGGCTGAGCAAAAGAAAAAAAAGCATCAAGGAAGAAGCCTCCCCAGGGAGGAGACACAGATGCGAGGCCCGCTCCTCAGTCCTCGAGAAGGAAGGCTGGCCTTTATTGCTTAGCAAAAGTTATCCACTCCTTCCGCTTCAGAAGTGGAGGCGTAATTCTCCATAGAGCCTTTTAAGTGTTGCCTGGAAAAAAGAAAAGATGATGGACTCGCTTTGCAGCCATGTCCATTTTCATTTTTATTTAAAAGCAGAAGGGACAATTACCAGAAAGGGAATCGTTTCAAGCAGGATGGGGCAAAATTATTAATTAGGTTAATACTCCATGACGGGTGTGTGTGTGTGTGTAGGGAGCAGGAGGATGCTGTGCAAACCACCCCAGCAGTCTGCGGGGGGGGGGGGGCNCTACAATGGCAAATGTAACCAGCCATCGGCATCAGTGGCTCAAACGAGCCTTTTCAAGGCGTGCATCTTGATGTGGCTGCTCCAATACTGCAGACAGGGGGAGAACTCCCCTCCTGCAGAAATCTAGCTCATCAGGGGAGAAGGGCTCCTGCCTCCAGAAAACTGGCTCTGTTCATATGCAAATATTCTAATCTTTAGGGAGTAGATTCAAACATGCAGTTTCCACCTGTCCTACTTAGGATCCGGAACACGTCCAGGAACGATAACACTTCTGTTTACATCAAGCGCTCTATTATCAGTGACAGGAGACTTGGCCAATTCTGCAGGCATGCAGCATTTCCCTTTGGAAACGCCCCTCGCCCAGTGAAGGGTGCCATGTAGGACCACCCAAGCAGATCTATCTAGTTGAGTTCCCCCACCTCCCACAAATTCATGGGTCAGCCGGGCTTCCTTTCTGCATCACTCATGGCAGCTGGACTGGAGAACAGCTTTTTGTGCCCTTGACCCTTTTCCATTTTCTCCTCCTGTCTCGCCTGCCCTCCAAAGTTCTTCTGTTTCACCGGGAGGATGCACCAAGAACTGCGATGACTGTGAATTAATACTCCCCAGTTTTAATTGCTGCCCATATGCAAAATCTCACCGTTCTCTGAAAGTTAAAATGGCCCTGGAGCACCACAAGGAAAATATGTGGCGAGAGCAGGACTCGAGCCAAGAATCATACTCATAAGAGGTGCAAAGGGATGCCTGGATGCGGCCAGACGTCTTTGGTTCCCTCCACGTCCCTCTCCCCTCCTTTATTTACAGAGGAGATGAATAAGGACGCCCAGCTTTTTGCAGACGGCACTGCCATGCATAGCCATGAATTAATTGAGAGCTTTGTACAGTAAATTGAGTTAAACCCCAAGCTTTTCTGTGTCGCTTCGAACCACTCTGAAATCAGATGCCCAGCGTCTTCTGACAGAGGGAGGGAGATAGAATATGATGGGAACTGGCTACCTGTCCACCTGAAGGTGTGGGTCAAAAAAACTGATCATATAAGCTTCCCCACTGGTGGGTCCTTTTCTCATTTATGCCATGTAAGTCGTGTTTCTACTCTAAAGGAGCCCCACTCCTTTTAGAGCAATGGTGTTGTGGAGCCAGAACTCACCAGATCAGAAGCCCAGGGCTTTTTGATCCCGAAGGAATTACTGTATAGTATCATCTACCCATCCCAAAAGGGTTCCCTCGGGACTCAGCTTCCATCCTTACAGTAATTAAAACAAAAAATGGATTTTCCTGAGAACAGTATGTTGTTGGCAGATGATCCCTTCGACAAATGGGCCACTAAGATCCAGTAGCTTTACAAAAGACCAGCTCCTGGAGGAAGCCAAAAGATCTCGTCTGTTTACATGGTTCAGTCCAGCTGCCTGCATTTTTCAGGCTAATCCTTGGAGGCCTGTTGAGTCTGTGAACTGGCGTGATTTACACTCTGCACCTGGGGAAATGGTGGTTTCACCAGTTTATGTAACAAGCCATGGTTTGTTCACGGTCCACGAATGTTCTGACAAAACAAATTGCTTTGTGGATTGTCAACCACTTCCATGTCCTCATTCCTTCGGCTAAGGAAGCTTTCCTGGCCAGCGCCAGCTCCATGTTCCCTATGCTGACCCTCAGCAACAACGCAGGGTCGCAAGCTGGCCCTGCCCCTTCGCTCTCACAACTCGAGTCCACTGGAGTGGCCAGGAATTAAATCTGGCCACGCTTTGCTTTGCTACCCAGGGGCGGCCCACGAATGCCCGTAATCACATCCAGTGTATTTACTGCCTTGCGCAATTGTAGGCAGACCTGCATCGGCCATCGTCAAGGGTAAGTAAAGACCCAAAGGGACCGAGAACGGAAGGGCACGGTGCTTCGGCTAGGATAACATCTAGAAACCAAGCCAGAAAGGAAGCGGCCTCCTGTTGAGCCTGGCGTTTGGCCCATCTAGCCCAGTATGCCCCACTCTGACTGGCAGACGTAACTCTCCGGCGCTCTGGGCAGGAATCTTTCCTAGCCCTACCTGGAGATTCCTGCCCTTCCCAGGGTGAGTCCCATCCACGCACTAAGCAGGACCAACCCAGCTCAGAGCTTCCTGAATCGGATGAGGTCAGGCGCGCACACGGAGGTAGGGCGGTTCGCATAACAGGAGAACGGATCCGTCCCCGTTCCCTCGGCCAAGACCCTCACCTTTTCCCACATCCGGGTTTGGTTCAACACAATGACGCCCAGTCGGGGATGGGCTTGGTAGCCGTCTTTGGTGAAGGATAAGTCCCTGCCTTTCCAGGTCACATTCATCATAAACCTAGAAAGAAAGGAGACGTTCAAAGAGGAAATTAATGAGCTGTCCAACACTTAATGAGCAAGCTAATTCAGTTGCCGGATTAGCTCTGATGAAACAGTTGCCCATCCATCCTCACTTTGCAAGGAACCCCTCCTTTTCTTCCCGGGCTGAAATCAAATCCGCCCTGGATGTTCCTGGGAATTGGACCTATTAAGATCGGAGAGACTTAATTCCTGCAGAAGCGAGCGTTTGCCGCCAAAGCCGGCAGCGCTTCAGGGACCAGCGACCAGCCGTTCTTTGAAGCAGCAGCCAAACTCTCGTGTAGCCGGGCTCAGCCCTGAAACTGAGCCCTCTTTTTCTCTTTTTCCCTCCACAGAATCACTAAGACCATGAAAGACGACCGTGTCACAATGCCGGGGTCTGTGGACATCCGTCTCTCTTTACTCCCAGGCTGCCTGGATGGAAAACATTGGCCCTCGGGACCCACACGGGCCGGAAAAGCAGCTCCTGGTTTTGCAAAAAGACCGTAATAAAGTTTTATCTATCTATCTATCTATCTAATAAAAATCATAATTGTGTGCCACCAAGTCCATTCTGACTTATGGGGCAACCCTTTTCAGGTTAAAGCCTTTCCTTAAATATTTCACATACTGTACCTTGAAACTCCTATTAGGGTCGTTCTAAGTTGGATGCAGCTTGAGAGCCCAGTACGACAATAACAGGGGCCTATTTTGATTTCTAAAAGATCTGAGGGTGTGTTAAGTCTCTCTCTCTCTCTCTCTCTCTCTATATATATATATATATATAGTCTGTCTGTCTGTCTGTCTGTCTGTCTGTCTGTCTGTCTGTCTGTCTGTCTGTCTGTCTGTCTGTCTGTCTGTCTGTCTGTCTGTCTGTCTGTCTGTCTGTCTGTCTGTCTGTCTGTCTGTCTGTCTGTCTGTCTGTCTGTCTGTCTGTCTGTCTGTCTGTCTGTCTGTCTGTCTGTCTGTCTGTCTGTCTGTCTGTCTGTCTGTCTGTCTGTCTGTCTGTCTGTCTGTCTGTCTGTCTGTCTGTCTGTCTGTCTGTCTGTCTATCTATCTATCTATCTATCTATCTATCTATCTATCTATCTCTCTGTCCGTCCGTCCGTCCGTCCGTCTGTCCGTCCGTCTGTAAGTCAGCGCCTGTGTGCTGGCAATGCGGGATGCAGGAGATGGTGAAAAACCCGTTTGGTTGTACAAGATTTGTTCTGTAGCTTTTCATCTCCCGAGCCGCTATCGGCAAAGGGGGAAAGCAGTTAATTTTAGCTCACTTTAATATCTTTTTAGGCGATCGCTCATTTCATTGTTCCTTGAAACATCATTAATCACACTTCCCGAGCACTTGTGCCCCGAGAGGCAAAAGACTCCAACGGGGGCCGCCCGTTGCTGTGCTGCTTCCAAGACATGGTCACAGAAAACAGGGCTCGGGACCGACTCCACCGCCCATCCAGGGGTCCCCGTCTGACGGGCAGGCTGGGAATCAGCCTCCAGCTGAAGGAAGGAGGGGGCAAAAGTTGGGGCTGAGTGGAATGGAGAGGACATGACATCCCCCCCCCCGCGCACCTTTCAGGTGGGGGAAAAAGAAACACCCACCCTGGTCTATCTGGGTTGGTTTCTTCCATGGCTCTTGTAGCCAGGAGGATCATCTACCTCTTGCTGTTGGGAGTCCAAGTGAACCACCATCATCACCATCATCATCACCAGAGGAGGAAAGAGCTAGGTAGCTTTGCTGGGTGCCTAGGGGTGGTGCTGGAAGAAGAAAATGGCTTGGCAGGAGCCACAGAGGGGATGATGGGCAGGAAAACAGAGGAACATGAGAGGGAGGGTGAGGCTAGACAGGGGTTTCCAGCTGGGAACGCAATTATTTGGCCAACATGGGGACAGAGGGCAGGCCTAAAGAGGCTGCTTGGGGTCTCCTCCACCTTTGCGACTCTTTTTTTGTTCTCGGGGGGCAGATTTGGGTCAGATGGGTGGGAGGTGTGTTTCTCCCTCCCCCCTTCCCTCCCTCCCTCCCTTGGCATGGGTGGAGGAAGCCTCTGTTTGGTTCATTTTAAGGATCAGAATTTACCAAAACCTCCACCTCTCTTCCCAGAAGGAACTTGAGGGATAGAAATAAACCAACAAATAAATGTAAGAAAACGCAACACTGATCGATTTCATCCATCTAGGCCAGTGGTTCCCAACCTTGGGTCTCCAGATGTTCTTGGACTACAACTCCCAGAAACCCTGCCCGGCACAGCTGGTGGTGAAGGCTTCTGGGAGTTGTAGCCCAGTATCATCTGGGGTCTCGAGGCTCAGAACCACGGATCTAGACAACTTGTTTTGGTTCCTTAACAGGTCACAAAAATCTTTTCACTCATTTCGGGTCAAGCTTGCGTCTCTGTGCCCTTTTCCTGCGTCGTTCGTACTGCACGGTTACACCTGTTTCAAGCGGAAGCCGTTTGGCGCCATGAAGTCCCAGCTGGGATGCCCAAAGTCTGGGGAAGTTGTTTTATAGGACTACAGAGCCTAGCATCCTTCAGCATCCTCTGGTTGGCACCCAAGGGACCCCTCAGGTTTAAAGCAGACCGAATGCAACCATGTTCTATGGAACGTCCCATCGTCCACATCCTTGGCTTGACTTCCCACCCTCTGCGCCTGGTTCCAACGGCCCTGGATGCCGCTCGCTCGCTCGTTCACCACAGGAACGAGGAGCGACTGCGGAACATGAATGAGGGCCATTTTGGAGAATGGATGTTGCCGACAGAAGCCACCAGAGGCCCGTATTTCAAGCCCAGAAAGCTACTTAAGCCCGTGCTCAGTTTTATATACTGCAAAACAGATGGTTCCAGTCTTAAATTTTATCTAGTTCTGCAGCAACTCAGAGAGCAAAAGAGAAAGCATGTGTATCAGAAAAATATTTCCTTGTGGTTTCATCTGCAGAAGCAACTGGCAGAAGACACGTCCCTCCTCCTGCTGCCCTTCTTGCGGTGGGTCATGGTACAGCCCCCATCATCCCCATGGGTGACCACTGACCTTGGAGTGTTACTATTATGCTTAGGTATGTCAGGAGAGGCTGGAGGGGGTCAAGAAAAGACTAATTTGGGGGTTATTATAAGGAGTTATCTCTCATTTTTTAACAGCAGGGAGTAGAGGCGGACAGAGTTTGAAGGCACGACGCAGTTATGGAGGTTGGCCGGCCGGCCAGGCTGTTGGCCAGTTGGAACCATATCCCCTTTCGCTGGATTAACTCTCCAAGAGCCCATGTTCCCTTATTTTAACCAGAGTGTGGGCGTGGGTGGGAGGGCATTCAGATTGGCCAGAGAAATTACTTGAGCTTAACCCAAATATGTAGGGTCTGGTGTTTGGCAAACTTTTTGCTTCCCAATAAATCCTTAATGTAATTGTGTGTGTGCGTGCGTGCGTGTGCGTGTGCGTGTGTTTAAAGAGTTGGGTTTCGTCACTGATTCAGCAAAGCGACAGAGGCCCCTTGTGGGCGGCATCAGTAATACCGGCACAATTCTCCCTTCTCAGACACCAGGGCAAAGACCATCAAGGGAGCCATGCTAAAAACAGGGTGGCCATGTGTGTGTTATGTTGCAGAGGGTGGTCCTTAATTGGAAAGGCTCTCAGGGAACAGTTCTCTGCTGAGCTTGACAGTAACTAGTTACAAATAAATAGTTACTGGCAAATAGTTACTTTTTCTAATAACAAAAGTACAACTATTTTTTTTAAAATGTAGCAATGGCCTTCTCCTTCCTGTTGGTGGTCCTTTGGGGGGGTGACCGTTTTAGTTATTTCTATAATTAATGGAATTGGCTTATAAAATGTCGGAAGAGATCTAAGACATGGCGTTGCTTCTTGATTCCACTTTCTTTTGATAGCAGCTAGTAAAAAGAAGTAGAAATCACTGAGCAGTAGGACAAGGAAAGAATTGTTTTTCAAACATTGTAACTGTAACAGTAATTAACTACTTGGAGGTTCAATTTGTCCTCAAAGCTAAAAACAGTCACAAAGGGCATGCGGACACTTTTTCTGATCCTGAGGTCTTTCAAGGGCTCTCCAAAACAGCTGATGGATCTGCAAGCACCCAGGTCTGAGTCTTCCTGGCTATTGCGAGATGCCTGCTATTTCTATTTAGAGCACAGTCATTATTTCTAAATTTGCATGCACTCATGCGGATGGGCAGCGGGCAATGTCATGCAAATCTGGGCCCTTTTAAAAAAATCTTTGGGCAAAGCACTGAGTGTTGGAGAGAAAGAGGAGTCTGCCAGACCCTGTGGCTGATCAGCCCCCTCGGAGGCAGGACCCTGAGACCTTTCAGCCTTCAGCCTGCTCTGCAGCTAAGCCAAACCACCACGTGGGAAGAGCAGAACGCCCTGCAAGCAAGAATAACCCAAAACGTACCAGTGGAACTGGCAAGGGGGTCAGCAAACCTTGTAAACAACAATGCTTGGGTAAAAGAGGCCATTAAACCTGAGTTTGGGGCAAAACAACTCAACGTTTTGATGGATGAATGTTTGCCATTGCAGCCGCTGTTTTATATGCAATCTGAGATCTCCATTAGCCAGGAAGCATCTTCCAAACTTTGCAGCACCTCCTGCTTCTGATAGTTCTGGGTTCCACTGGCCACGCAGGGCGCAGCCCGTTGATAAAAGACTCTGGTGAACAAACTTGTTCACCCCTGGAACTGGAGATTTTTATCCATTTCCGTGGCCACCCTGATGTCTACCTGGTCTCTCAAGTGGGCCTAGCCAAACACCTCCAGGTGACAAGGTCACGATGGCAAGAACCTTTTCTCACAGCTGTTCCTATAGAGTCATGGGTTCCCAACCTTGGGTACCCAGATGTTTGTAGACTACAACTCCCAGAAGCCTTCATCAACAGCTGTGCTGGACAGGATTTCTGGGAGTTGTAGTCCAAGAACCCCTGGGTTGCCCAAGCTTGGGGGCATCGTGACTAGCAAATCTGATAGCTGGAGCAGGCATGTCTTTCAGCTGGGAAAACTCAGCCACGGTGAGC